AAACGGTACTTGCCTTGTTTATCCCATAACTAGTGCCAGCATACCTTGACAGATTTCCGAAGGTTCGACCCTAATTGGCGTAAGTCGTACACTAACTCAAAAGCTTCATAATTAATCGTCGTCGTTAACACCCCCGAGTATCAAGTCTGTGCAACTCACCTTCTTTAAGAATGATCATAGAACCCACTTCTACCGTCCTCATGTCTATTTGGGACAACACATTGTATCGCTGCAAAGCATCTAGCAAGCAGTACACCACAATCAACTTAGTCACAATCCGTACTCCAAAGACTAAAAAATGCAACAAAGGGGTGGTCTACCTGCACATATCGAAGCACTCATTGTACCTCCTGGTTGAAAAGAGTTGAATAGAAGACACAGTTAGGACGGACGAGGGAAAGGATAGCAGAGCAAGCACTCCCCGCCATTCATATGAATTCTGGTACTTGTTCTGTAATAATAGTCAAATTACTTCGGTGATTCGGCGTGATGCAGCATAATTAACCACACGAAATATAGACTGACAGAGTCCGAATCTACGGCAAAATCCCAGAAACAAGCAAGGTCTGCTGTTTTTGTTGTTGTTGTTGTTAGCTGGTGCAGTTTTCAGGGACGACAAGGTGCGTAGTGCTGACTAACAGCTATTCGCACTATCCGAGGGCTGCCATGACATTTTTTTTTCGACGTGCTGTGATATAAGCGTTAGCCAGTGACGACGGTTGCGAAGACTTACTGCAGTGCAAAAGAGGCAGAGGACACTATAGTTCTTACACGGTGATCTACTGCCTTTCTTGAAAATCGGCATAAAAATAGCGTCATTACGGTCTGCGCACACAGCCGCAGATCGCCATGAACGGCCAGTTGATACTTATGTTCCCACGGTTCACTAGTGCCTCAAGGTTGGCTTTAAGTCGCTGTCACAGCCGGCGGTCGTTTTTAAACCCAATAGCGGCTGCGGACGGCTTCAGAAACAGCGCAAAAACCGTCTATGATGGGCGTTTCATGTGTTGCATAAGGCTCATTGTCATACCATAGTTGTTTCCTACCGTTATGGCAGGCAGAATAGAGGTCTTACTGTCCTTTTGGATCCTGCACGTCC